TATTTGTTGTTTGGAGCAAACAGTCCAGTGAATGCCCACCCCATCGCGAGGTGCTGGGGGTGGGGGTGCAATGGCACTGCAAGAATCTGGGTGTCCTCAGCTTGGTCCAAAGCCCAGAGGTGATTTAAAGGGTGTGTGAATCGAGTTTCTGTGAATGCAAATATTTCTGGGAAAAAAATCCATGGCTTCTGTCAGGCCCTCAAAGAGTCATGACCCCAAAATGGCACCAAGAGATAAACTTGCTCTGTGTGCCCAGCAGCCAGATCTGGCACCCTGACCCACACCACCCACAATGCGCTGAATGGCTGGCTGCACAGACCTAGCCGCGGTCCGGCTGCACACACCTAGCCGCGGTCCGGCTGCACACACCTAGCCGCGGTCCGCTGCACACACCTAGCCGCGGTCCGGCTGCACACACCTAGCCGCGGTCCGGCTGCACAGACCTAGCCGCGGTCCGGCTGCACAGACCTAGCCGCGGTCCGGCTGCACAGATCTAGCCGCTGTCTGGCTGCACAAACCTAGCCGCTGTCTGGGTCATGGGCTTAAAAGAGGCAGCTACATCTGATCCCAAGCCTGTTCATACAAGTTGTACCTGTTGTTCTATGTAATAAATATTAAACAAACTAATAAAACAGGAGTAAGAACCTACTCTGACCCACAGCCATCTCTGGCTTTGACTTGGAGCCCAGAGGATTACTACATTTTCTAAAATCAGTACCTTTGGAATTTTTGCTCCCAAGTCCTGATACTGCTTGGGATTCTTCAGGAAATTCACAAATTCCATAATTTCCAATTTGGCTTCTTCGCACCCAGCTACATCCGCAAATCGCACATCGATGTTGCTCTTTAAGATCTTGGCTGTTGTCTCACCAACACTGAAGAGGCCCCCTCCTCGTCTACTGCGCCTGGCTCCCATAGGGCCCCTCCTGGCAGCATAGAGGAGAATGCCAACCAGGAGAAGGGTGGGCAACAGTCTTCGCAATAGAGAGCTGGAAAATCCAAGAGAACTACTTGTCACGCTCAGGAGGTCAGAAATAGCACCTTTGTGCCAGGCACGGTGGGTCATGCCTGTAATCCCAGCACTTTGGGAGGCCACCGTAGGAGGATCTCTTGAGCCTAGCAGTTCAAGACCAGCCTGGGCAACATGGCCAGACTGTGTCCCTACAAAAAATATAAAAACGGCCGGGCATGGTGGCTCACACCTGTAATCCCAGCACTTTGGGAGGCCGAAGCAGGTGGATCACCTGAGGTAAGGAGTTCGAGACCAGCCTAACCAACCTGGTGAAACCATCTCTACTAAAAATACAAAACTTAGCTGGGCGTGGTGGCGTGTGCCTGTAGTTCCAGCTACTCAGGAGGCTGAAGTGAGAGGACTGCCTGTGCCTGGGAGTTCAAGGCTGCAATGAGCCATGATGGCACAACTACACTCCAGCCTGGATGACAAAGCAAAACCCTCTTAGAAGAGACCGCTCTAGGACTTTGTTTTGCTACACAAAAGGGAGCAGGTTTTCTTCCTTTTTTTGAGATAGGGTCTCACTGTCACCCAGGCTGGTGGGCAGCGGCACGATCACAGTCACTTTGAACTCCCAGGCTCAAGAGATTCTCCTGCCTAAACCTCCTGAGTAGCTAGAACCACAGGCATGCGTGCCACCACACCAGATATTTGTTTAACTTTTTATAGACACGCAGTCTCGTCTCACTGGTCCAGCTGGTCTCGAACTGCTAGTCTCAGGTGATCCCCCCTCCTCAGCCTCCTAAAGCGCTGAGATTACCTATGTGAGCATCACGCCCGGCCCTCGTCCTTTTTTTTTTTTTTTGACATGGAGTCTCCCTCTGTCACCCAGGCTGGAGTGCAGTGGTGCGATCTCGGCTCACTGCAAGCTCTGCCTCCCGGGTTCACACCATTCTCCTGCCTCAGCCTCCCAAGTAGCTGAGACTATAGGCACCCGCCACCACGCCTGGCTAATTTTTTGTATTTTTAGTAGAGATGGGGTTTCACCCTGTTAGCCAGCATGGTCTCAGATCTCCTGACCTCATGATCCACCTGCCTCGGTCTCCCAAAATGCTAGGATTACAGGAATGAGCCACCACGCCCAGCCTCTTTTTTAAAAAATGTGTCAAAGTCTGTCCAGCACTAGGCCTCTCCAGTTCTGAAGGCTCTAGTCACAGGCATTTCTATCTCCCTGATGTAACCTGTGGCTGCCTTGGTGGGGCAGGGAGGGTTAACAATTCCACCACCCACCACCTCCTCCACCCGGCCAAGCAGCCCTGCTGGAGCTTACACCACATCTCCCCCAGGAGCCAGGAGGTGCCTCCAGCAGACCCAGCAAGGCCTCCTGGCATCTAGGGCCAACCGGACCTGTTTCATCAGAGGAAGACACCAAATGTCTTCCTGCTTTATTTTTTATCTTTGCTCTTGCTCTTCAGAGGCCATCCCTCCTCCAGTGGCTCTGCAGTCCCTTTCAGCCCCACATACAACCAGGCATTCTCGGCAACTCAACAAGCAAAGACAGAACCCAAGTCAGCAATAAACAGCACCTAGATGACATCCAGGAGCTCCAGCAGGAGACCGCAGGCCTGAGCCCTGCCACTAGAATCTGAGAGTTAATCTCCAGATTTCTACCTGCCTCACCTTCTCTCACCCCACTGCGGCCCCTACTCTGTGCTTAAACATATGTCTCAAAGAAACCACCAAAACCACTACAATTCCAATTTTTACACCCTCCTGGCTAAAGCTGGTACTGGATTTGTACTCTCTCTTGGTTCAGTTTTCAATTCTGGGCAGAAGGGCCGGAGAAGACAGAGCAATGACATCCCCAGGATGTAAACATGACAACAGGATCCACGCTCAGCAACACTGATTTCTGTGCTGAGTCCTGGGATGCACAGAGTATTTCATCTGGTCTTTGCCCTCATGTCCATAATTACTTTAAGAACATACGATGCAGTGGAAATCCAAGATAACATGAGAACCATGGGAAGCTTAGAATGACCAAGTGTCGGGCAGGTGTGGTGGCTCACACCTGTAATCCCAACACTTTGGGAGGCCCAGGCGGGCAGATCACAAAGTCAGGAGATCGAGACCATCCTGGCTAACATGGTGAAACTCCATCTCTACTAAAAATATAAAAAAGTAGCCAGGCATGGTGGTGGGTGCCTATAGTCCCAGCTACTCGGGAGGCTGAGGCAGAAGAATGGCGTGAACCCAGGAGGCAGAGCTTGCAGTGACCCAA